GAGAGAGAGAGAGAGAGAGAGAGAGAGAGAGAGAGAGAGAGAGAGAGAGAGAGAAGCAGTCGAAGAACATCAAGTACAAGAAAAAGGTAAGTGCTTTCCACACTTTTCCACCGTACGTTTAAAATTCCAATGACGGGATTATCCGTCTCCGACCACCGCAACACTAGACGACATACACAACCACAACACGAAATTGTACACATGGCGAGTGTCCCTCCCCAAGGGGTCACCGCCGACCGGGAACGACCAATGACGACCTGCCGCGTCCATGACAGCCTGCCTACCAATACGACTAAAAGGGGAAGCCTGCTACGGACTCGTCGTCGACATCCCGGGAGGCCACAAATGCACAACACACAGCCTAGCAACTCTACCGCTCACGGATAGCCTTCACTATTTCCAACAACGCGTGGCACATGAGTTTGTTGACTTCGTCCGGAGCAGCATAGTGCTTCCTCTGCACTTCCACTTCAGCTTCCAAAGCCTCGCACTGTCGGACCTGGATGGAGCATTGCCGCTTGCTCGCACTCTCCATCGTCGACGCCATTAGCACCCCGTGCTTCTCCATGCATTCCGTCAGCGCGTCGAAAGTTTGCTGCCTCGTGCTCTTCCTCTTCCCAAAACCAGGGGGGGTACCCGTCGTCTGGGAAGAACCTCGCGTCAACCCCTCGTCGTCGTCTTCTCGCCCCGCACCTCCATCCCCATCTGCCAACGATTCAGGATCCGCGTTCGATGTCGATGGCAGACGAACACCGCCAGAAGCACTAGTGTCTGCCACGTTCTTCGGGTGGATGGTATGGTTCATCCCGGTCGACCCCTCTATATCATCGTAAACAGCACGATCCATAGTGAAATTGAAGCCCCTGCTCGTCCTCTCCTTGGCCGTCAACTGGAAGAAGTCCCCCCCCCCGGATGACGTTTGAAAATGATGGACTTTCTTGAACTGCTGCATCAGATTGTCCCACTTCTCCCCGCATTTCTCGACATCCCTGTCCACGCCCACGTTCTTCAATCTTTGAGCGACGTCTTGCTATTTCCATTCCCGCGGTTTCATCCGGGCGTACACATGCCCCATCCCCTGCATATGCGCACCTTGGTCACGTTTTACCCTTATGAGGGCTATAATATGTTCGACGGACCAGAAGTTGCGCTTCTCCTCCGCATCACCGTCGCCGTCGCCACCGCTCCCCTTTCCCTGACCTTTCTTCGCCCGCGGACGACCATTGTGGCCGGAAGGCTTCGACTTCCCGCCCTTACGAACCATGTCGCTCTGCAAGGACGGCGACACGTAACCGCCCCCCCTTTCCCCGCCTTCCCCGTCGTTGTCGTCTGCTTCCGCAGGTGGATCGTCCATTTCCTTCTCCCGGTCACCCACACAAAGACGCTCCAGCCCCCGTGTGATGGATTCCTCTCGCCGCGCCCGAAGCTCCCGTCGGTGTTCCTTCCACACCTCCCTCCCGTCCCGATCACACCAACGTCAAAGAAGTCCGTCCCGGCGTCGACGCTCCCGCCACGGCGGCGGGCCACTTCGGATGCCGCAGACAGGGGAGACGGCGACTGGATCCAGTGGGGCCGAGCCTGGGCGGCCCTGGACAGAGAGGGCGCCCGTGCTTGCTGCGTCGACGAGTTCGGGTTCGCTCCCGTCGTATCGCGCGCCAACGCCCTCGTCTTCGATGATCGGTCGACAACCGTCAATTGCCCGTCGTCGTCGTCGGGGTGGGGGACCCTGGGGGTGCACAAGGGCTGTGCGCGATGGAGTTGAGGACCGCCCGGTGGACAGGCCAGACCACAGGTTGACCCGGCCATCTCCTTTGTCGCCTCTAAGGCCCGGGCGAAGGAGTTCAGTGAACGACTGCTCGTACACGCCGCCGCCCGTCCCGCATAGCTCCATAACTTCCCACTCCTGCGTCGATCCGCGGCCCAACGACACGGTGCGTGGCCGTCTCTCCTCCTCCTCCTCGTCTGATGAGCCGGGGAGTGGTTGCAAGTGCGGTGGCAATGCCTCATACCCAACCCGCTGGGACGCCCTCCCAATAGTTGACGGGCTTCCCCCGCACCACCTCCCGCTGACCTGCTCCCCTCCGGACCTGGCGATCGCCTGCCGTGCCTCCGTCCTGGAGTCCTTCATCGAAGACCTTCTTTTGCGTCGACGCCGCGGTACGTTCCCGAGGATATACACGTGGAAGACAACCACGAGGAGCAGCAACAGGACAACCAGAAGCAGCAGCGGCAGCCTGCGGAACACGTCAGCCATGAAACAGTAGACGACGACGGCAGCAGACAGAAGACAACGCGGGCGCCAACATAACAGCGAAGTACAGTGCTGCAAACGGTCGTTCCAACAAACGGAAGGTGTCGTCTTCGGTAACGAACAGCAGTGCGTCATTCGGAGAGACAGTGCCGCCTGAAATATTCGTATCTGCCGACCGTTGGGAGAATTCCCGCGGCATGCCAAACGCGACGACGCGAGACGACACCTTCTGGACGTCGGGGATGCCGGCAGGCCGCAAGCGGTCACCGTTGGGGATGAACCACATGAAGCCGAACGTTGGCGACCCAACATGTCCGTGGAGACGCAGGCAGGACCACCGACGAACCAGACGGGATCGAAAAATGTCTTCGAGGGAGCTGCCGTCGACACCCCGATTCTTCCGGATGCTCGACCTCCAAGGGACCTCGGGAGGTCCCTTGGGGAAATCGGCAAAATGGCTGTAGCCCCGAGGAATCCCCGAGGAAATGTTTTCACATTTTCTTTTCCGAATCTTCCCCGAGGATGAGTGGAACGACAATTTCCTTGGGGAATTTCGGGCCCCGAGGAGTGTCGAACGAGCCCCGAAGAAAAAGAAGAAGGCAGAAATGCTGTCAAAATTGAGTGGCTGATTGACAACAAGGGAAGGTTGTTCCACGAGAGTTCACTGTGAATACTGCAGACTGCAAAAAGCTGTGCAACACTGTCAGAAGGTTGTGACAGGCACTGTACCTTTGTTTTTCCATAAAACAGGATGTCGCCTGACATTTTCAGCCTGCTTCTGCACACTGGGTAGAGATAGGCACAGCAGGAACTGATGTCTTTTTTTTTTTTGCAACTGATGTCTTTTTACTTGTAGAGAAACTGCAAAAAAAAGGATGTCTTTTTCTGCCTGGAACTATTTTCCAGTGTCTTATGAGTATATGGTCTTAGGGCATACTCACACTAGGACTTTTTTACGTATTTTGGAAGGAATTCCGGCCAGATACATCCAGGTATGGCCGTGAATGTGGTCAGATACATTTGACATACTGCGGGTGTGAGTGCATCCTTACTATTTTAAGCAGATGTAGCTGTGCTAGGTCAGTGAACCACGGATTCATTTTATCTACGGTCCATGGCCTCCAATTTTTTAGGAGAGGCTCAATCTGCTTTTTCGGATGTACTAGTGGTTTAAACTAGTACTTCCAAACCTGGCAGCCAAATGTGCGGGCCTGGGGAACTGGCATAAATTCATTCAAGGGGAAACGTTGGCTGGGCGCATGCCCGCCATTGACTTCCAGAAGTACTGGTGGTTTAACAACAAATATTGGCTACCGCCTGTGCGCACAAAGAATGCCCAGACATTGGGCCTCGTTCGACACCACTTGAACTCAAGGGTTGAAGGAAATTTCTTCGTTTGACCTCACCCTAACCTGGCCGCGGAGTCCTTTCTACTCTCCGGCTCTCTAGTGCTAGCCCTCGAAACTCAAGTGCTGCCGGGGCAAATTCGCACTTGAGCTCAAGGTACCTTCCCCGGGAGCCTTGAGTTCGAGTGCCAGCGGGTACTGCCAGCACTCCAAGTGGGGCTTTTTTTTTGTTTTTCTTTTTTCCCAAAAGGCAATCCTGGTCCAGGATTGGTCAAGCCGTGGAGTTCAGTATCAAGCGCGGCCGTTTCAAGCATTTTGTGAACTGCACATGGAACGAAGATTGCAGTAAGTATTTTTTAATCACTATTTCCGGGTTAGGGTGCACTTGAGACTCTAGGGTTCTCTAGTGGTGTCGAACGAGACCCATTATCACTATATCTAGACTGAAAGTGCCCCCAAACACAGCTATAATGACCAGGCGTTCTATTCGGGTAAAGACTGTAGCTGTCAAGGACTGGTAATGGAAAAGGGCGGTCCTAGGTAAGCCCTTCAAATTGCGGCACAGAAAAATCATCTCTGAAATTGTGAGGGATTGGGAGTCCCATTGCGGAATCCGTACACCAGACACCTCCGTGATTAGAGTACTAGGTGGATGGCAAGAGAGACGGGGTCCTAGACCAGTCAAGGCTTACTCAGACCGCCCCTTAGATCCTGTGAAATGGAGACCACACAACTTTAGTAATGTTTTTTTTTTTCCAAAGAAGAAGGGGAGAGTGCGACTGAGTGCTCATGGGAAGTTTTTAATGGCAAAAAAAACTCCCAGTCAGCAGATTTGTTCTGGCCTGAGTTTGGGGAGAAAAATAATTTCAGGTCACCAAGTTTGTTCAGCCGAGCAGTTTACCTAGCAGGTTTGCCTGGGGCTGGACCAGACAACGTACGGTGGGCCGGACCAGGCCCGAGGCTGGTCCAACCTACTGGACATGGTTCGGTACTATCGGTAGGGCACCAGGTAACAGCCCACCAGTACCACCACATTTCAACTCGCACATCAGACATCATGTGTGTGTGGGTTGAGAGAGAGAGAGAGAGAGAGAGAGAGAGAGAGAGAGAGAGAGAGAGAGAGAGAGAGAGAGAGAG